GAGTGGTGGTCCACTTTACATAGAATATCCCATTGCATCCTTCCAATATTCTTGACAGATAAGGGTCTGTCTTAGTTGTTGAGTGTTGCTACAACAGAAACACCACAAGTAGATGACTTTAACAAACAAATTTATTCTCTCATAGTTTAGGAAACCAGACATTTGAAACATAGGGCAAGGCTTTCTCTCTGTGTCAGTTAAGGGGGACGGGCCTTGTCTCCTTTCAACATCTGTGGCCCTGACAGCTATTGCAAATATCCATGTATCTTGGCATCAGTCTTCCACTGAGTCTAGAAGGTTCACAGCCCAGGAACCCTGGGTCTGAAAGGATGCAATTCACTTCCAGATGTTCTTTCTTGGTTTTAGGAGGTTCCTCTATCTACTTACTTGTTTATTTTCTTTTATGTTTCTAAAGAGATTGAGTGAAGATATACCTAATCCTGTCCATTATATCCTGTCCTAGAAAATGATTACCACCAGTCTTTCCTCCTTAACATCATAGAAGTTAGGATTTACAATAATTACATCAGATCACAAATTGAGGATAACAATATAGTAGTGAAAATTAAGGTCTAACCAAGTTGACACATATATTGATTGGGAAGACACAAGTAAATCTATCACAGGGTTATTTTCCTCATGTGACCAAAGAGGCAGCTGACATTCAGACAGGAGACTGATTACGGTAGTGTCTTAGCTATCCAGTGCTGCTAAAATAGAAATCGCACAAGTAGGTGATTTTGACAAACAAAAGTCTATCTTCTCACTGTTTAAGAGGCCAGAAGTCTGAATTCAGGGAGCTGCTGTAGCAAAGGGCTTTCCCTTTAGTTTGGCTCTGGGTTCAGGGAGCTGCTGTAGCAGAGGGCTTTCCCTTTAGTTTGGCTCTAGGAAAAGGTCCTCGACTTTTTCAGCTTCTGTTTCTTGATTTCTTGGAGAGCTCATGTGGTTTGGTAATGCTCCTTCCCCCAACTGGTTTTTTGCTATTTGTTTAATCTGCTCTTTTATGTTTCAAAAGTTATTGATTTCAGAACACAACTATACTCATACTACTTCAATAACATAC